GATGCATCTTCCGGATAGAGGCCTTGCCACTGGATCAAGACTTTAGTCCCAGCAGGTGTAGCACCTGGTAGTACATCCAACACAGTCAATGGCTGCACTATGGGCTTATTGTCAATTGTATCAGTAGGGAGGGATAACGGTTGATCAGGATCACTTGCAGTAGCACTGTGGAAAGGCTTGAGCATTGATGTGTGAAAAACAGGATGAATTTGAGACCCTGGAGGTAGACTCAATTCGACGGCCACAGGGTTAATGCATCGCACAATTTGGAAAGGGCCATAAAAACGTTTAGCCAGCTTTTTTGAATGAATGCCTGTGACTGACGTCTGTCGATATGGTCTAAGTCGTACCATAACCCAATCCCCCTCTTTGAATTCATGATGTCGATGGTGCTTATCAGCAGATTGTTTCATGCTCTCTTGCGCTTTCGTCAGGCGGTGTTTAAGCCTAGCCATTACCCTCTCCCTTGTTTCGAGCTCAGCTTCGACCGCTTCTAGTGAACTACTACCCAGAACATAGGCAGGAATTGTTGGGGGAATCCGTCCATATACAACCTGGTAAGGTGTCATACCAGTCGAGGAGTGTACAGCGGTGTTGTAGCACCACTCCGCCCAATGAAGGAACTTTCCCCACAGTCGAGGTTGCTCATGAACAAAGGAACGCAGATACTGTTGCAACGTGCGATTAACTACCTCTGTCTGCCCATCGCTTTGAGGGTGATACGCAGTTGACAATCGGAGCTTGGTGCCACTGAGTTTGAAGAGCTCTTGCCAAAAACGGCTCAAGAATAGAGGATCCCGATCTGAAATCATGCTTTTGGGCATGCCATGTAGTTTGCAAATCAGCTGAGCAAACAAATCAGCCACCTTGGTTGCTGTAAAATGAGTACTCAGCATCCCAAAATGCGCTGCCTTAGAGAAACGATCGACCACCACCAAGATCACTGTGTGGTTTTGGAAAGAAGGGAGCCCAACGATGAAATCGAGGGACACATCTTCCCATACGCGTGTTGGTATCTCAATTGGATGCAGCCATCCAATTGGAGCTTGAGTGGAAGATTTTATCTGTTGACAAACTAGGCACTGTTTAACAAAGGTAATTACATCAGATTTCATACCTTGCCAGTAGAAATTTTCTTGCAAACGTCCCATGGTCTTGCTGACCCCGAAGTGCCCAGCTAAGGGGGAAGCGTGGAATTCCAGCAGGAGTAGCTGTCTAAGAGGTGAATCTGAGGGGATGAAAATCTTGTCTTTAAACAATAGCACCCCTTGCACTACTCGCAAATGAGGATGAGACTGAGGATCTGTTTCCAGTTGTTGCAAAAGTCTTTGCACATCAGGATCGTTGTGATAAGAATCTTTCAGCTTGGAAATGAACTCGAATTGGGGAATAGTGATAACCAATAATTCCACTGACGGAAAGGTCACACGAGAGAGAGCATCAGCCACACGGTTGGAAGCTCCTGGCTTATATGCGATAGTATAGTCATACCCTAATAACTTGGAGAGGTAGTATTGCTGCTCTGGAGTCTGGATGATCTGTGTCATGAGTTCCCTCAGACTCCGTTGATCAGTATGTATTGTGAAGTGTCGCCCTAGTAAATAAGGTCTCCATTTGCGCACTGCTTCCGTGATAGCATGTAACTCTCGAACATAAGTCGATGCTACTGCTAACCGATTGCAGAATTTCTTGCTGAAGAAACAAATCGGATGTCCAGCTTGTAACAGAACAGCACCCATTCCCAATCCTGACGCGTCAGTCTCCAGCACAAAATCCGATTCAAAGTCAGGAAGATGTAGTAGAACTGGTGCTTGTGTCATAGCCTCTTTAAGGTTAATAAACGCTTGTCTGCTGTCATCATTCCATTCAAATGCATCTTTCTTCAGCATGTCAGTAAGGGGGGCAGCAATGGCAGCATAATTCTGGACGAATTTTCGATAGAAGCCCGTTAGGCCCAAGAATCCGCGCAGCTGCTTCAAGGTAGTAGGCAATGGCCATTCTGTCATGGCTCTAATCTTTTCCGGGTCAGGGCCTACGCCGCTGTTGGAGATTATGTGCCCCAAATAATCAATGGAACATTGTGCAAAGGAGCACTTAGATCTTTTGAGAAAAAATTGGTTCTGCAGTAAGCACTCAAAGGTGCGACGTAAGTGAATCATATGATCAGCCTCTGTCTTGCTGTAAACCAAAATATCATCGAAAAAAACTATCACAAATTTAGGAAGAAAGGGACGAAACAACCTATTCATTGTAGACTGAAATGTTGCCGGTGCATTACAGAGTCCAAAAGGCATCACCAGGAACTCGTAGTGCCCATCGTGCGTTCGAAACGCTGTTTTGTCTGTGTCCGAGGGATCCATGCGAATCTGATGGTAACCTGAGCGCAAGTCCAACTTCGAGAACCACTTTGCGCCGTGGAGTTCGTCTAAGAGCTCGTCGATGGTAGGGATTGGGAATCGATCCTTCATGGTTATGGCATTCAGCGCACGATAGTCGACGCAGAACCTCCACGAGCCGTCCTTCTTGCGAACCAGTAGCACCGGAGAAGAAAATGAGCTGGTGCTTCCTTGTATAATTCCGGTTGCCAACATTTCATGAACCTGCTTCTCAATTTCTCTCTTCTGGAAAAATGGGTACCGGTAGGGACGGACATTTACTGGCGAAGCCCCTTATGTAAGAGGAATTTTATGGACAGTATCTCTTGACGGTGGAAGTTCATTAGGCGTGTCAAACAGCCGAGCATACTCATCAATCAGGTTGGTCAACAAAGGAAAAGAACTTTCTAGGTTTTCTGAAGATGTGGCAATAGAGGGGGTAACCTGCAAGTGGAAGAGTTCCAGTATGGATTGGGTTGTGGTCATCCTTTTGATTTGGGCCAAGGATACTTCTTGAAGCCCAATCGGTTTGGATCCAGTTAGCAACACAATCTCACCATTTTTAACAAATTTCATGGTCAGATCCCCATAATCCGTCAACACGGGCCCTAGGGTCTTTAGCCACTGGACCCCAAGTACTAATTCTGCTCCACTGATGGGTAAGACAAACAGGTCCACAGCGAACCGATGGGGCCCAAACCACAGGGGTACAGCCTTACACATCAGAGAACAATCGAGTTCTTCACCGTTGCCGACAATCACTTTGAACCCTTGTGTTTGCTGAGTGGTCAGTCCCAGAAACTTAGCTATACGATCTTGAATAAAATTGTGCGTACTCCCTCCGTCTATGAGAACAAAAATCTCCGTTTTCGCAATTCGTCCCACAACTCGAAGGGTTTGAGGAGCACTATGGCCAACTAATGCATGGTAGCTGATCTGGCCTGTGTCATCCGATGGTTCCTCGAGGTGCACTGGTTCTACTGTGTTTGATTCAACAGTTAATTCCAACCCAGACTGCTGGTACTCGGATTCGAAACCTGGATCTGCAATTAGAAGCATGAATAGTCGCTTGCATTTGTGCCCTGGATGATATTTCTCGTCACAGTTGTAGCAAAGCCCCTTTTCGCGTCTTTCTGCCATCTGATCCGGTGTCAGCCGTTTGATTAATGGGCTCCCTCTGGACTGATTATTTGGCTTGAAGCCAGTATTTCCTCGAGTCGCGTTTGTGGTGGAGACTGTGGTGATTGGTTGTTTGGGCACACTGTGGGATATGGGTTTAACCACATCGTTCACCTTTTCCTCTTGTAGTCGTGCTAGACCAATAGCTTGGGATAGTGACGTTGGAGTCAAGGCTTGGAGCTCCCTGCGAATGTCAGCTCTTAAACCAGAAATGAAGCAGCTCAACAAAAACGGTGGTGGAAGACCGACGATTCTGTTAGCCAGGGCTTCGAATTGAGCTTGGTATTCTCGGACGGAAGCGGTCTGGCACAATTTGAACAAGGCTCCCCTAGGATCTTCATACTGAGAAGGGGCAAAGCGTAGATCTAAAGATTGGAGGAACTGGGCCCAAGTGTTGAGCTGACCATTGGCATGCATCCACTGGTACCACCCCAGGGCTTCTCCCTCCATATAAAAAGAAGCAATCCGTAAACGTTGTTCTTCAGGTGTCCTGTGAAACTCAAAGAATTGGGAGATTTTGAAGGACCACCCTATCGGGTCAGATCCATCAAAACGAGGAACATCCAGTTTCATGGTGGTACGAATCCCAGCTGCTGGTATGCCTGCCTCGGTGTGGAGGTGTTGGTTTGCGTGGGTGAAAGCTAAGGGTCTGTTTTCCAAAGCTACCATCCTTTGTGTCATACTCTGCAAATCGGTCTGCATTGATAGATGAGCCTCAAGCAAGCGATTGAGAGTGATCTCTAAATTCTCATTAGGACTTGATGTGCCTGCCATGGCAGTAGGCGGTAGCTCTCAATGAAAGCACCAGATGATAAATCCTCACTTCGAGGGTGAGGAGCCTCCTGCAAACACAGAGAAAAACTAGAAGAAAATACTGAATATTGCTTATCATTTCATTGAAGGATTATGTGTCTTTATACACAGCTCAGGTGATCACACCTCTTACAACAATTATAACAGAATGTAAAGGAAAAACTCACACGTCCAACTGCTTAACAATGCAGCGTCAAATCCGCTAACTAACTTATTACAGCAATGCAATACTCTAGAGTATTCTGCCTCCCTCATCCTAAGCCACCTGATAGTCACGCATCCATTTTGGTTTATTCTTCTGATGTCTAGCCCACCTGGCTCGTGGGGTAATTTGTTGTTCTGGTTCAACAACGTCATCTTGGTCTTCTTCTTCTTGGGCCATGCTTTCAGCCTCCTGGCCCAACTATTCCTCAAGCTCAGCCTCCTGGCCCAACTGTTCCTCAAGTTGTGGGTTCATATCATCTCATCACTGAAAGACAATAACAATTTTTTATGTGGGGTGTTCTCAAACATACATTTGTAAGTTTGTGAAGCATTGACTAAATAGGAAGAGTTACATTTCCAATATGAGAAATCTACGTTGAAAACTACAATTCAAAACCCTTACCTAAGCTTTATCTGAAAACTTAACTTTCAGAATTTGAAGATTACCACAAAGCAAGGGAGGACAGCTCTAGGATTCAAAACATAAAGTTCTTCAATATCCGTTTTAACAAAAGAATCAAACTCTGAATCAGTCATTCCTTGAATCTCAAGTAGAGGATTATGGACTCGCCCAGCTATTACTCTGCAAACTATAACAGACTCTCTCACGACAGGTTTATGGGAAGAGTCAATGGAATCAATGGCTTTTCCAGTTATAGAAGCGGTAAAAGCCCCAACTGCACCGTGGAGTTCTTTGTTGGTGGAGAAACCATTCCTCAAAATTTGACATACACCACATTGGTCTAAAGTACAAAGGCTAGAAGAGCCATTTATACCAAGGGAGCATGCAACAGTTGTACCATGAAACCTCAACAACTCATTTCCATCAACCCAGCATCGAGGGTGCTTATTTTGTTGCCTTTCAACATTAATATTCTTAACCATTTCTCTGCATTCCTCAAAGCAAGCAAATGTTTTTTGCGTGTTCTGGACCTTCATGACACATTCAATTTGTGCTGCCTTGCTTTCAGAATTGACATAGCTACCTTGGCATATTTTTTCGATAATCTGCCATGATGAATCTTCTTTATGAAGTCCTATGACTGCAAAATTGTACATGTTGAAGTTTCATATTAAACCATACTGGTGTATTATCCGTGATGTACGTACCAGAAAAAAAAATCGATTTGTTTGTCTCGTAAAAATTTATCAAAGTTTAAAATAAATATTATGAATAATATTTTTTATTACATAAACATGTAATTGCATGATGTAGGAACAAACAAAAAATCAATGTCTCAAATTAAATAACATTACGACGTGCACTATAAATCATATTCATATATTCAGATAACAAAACATATTATTAACACGACGATGATAAAAAAAAAAACAATTAATAAAGACTTAATTAAAATTTAAAATATGCAAGTATTTGCAACTTAATATCATATATTTGTAATAAAAAGAAAGTCCATACTATAATAGGAAATAGTCACTTAGCTTTTCTTTTTATTTTTTTTTCAAGTACAGTATAGCAGTTTTTAAAACTAATTCAAACAACAACAAAAAGCATTTGACTTTTTTAATTTAAGAAAGAGAGAGTCAAAAGACCTGGTTTGAAATGAATTTAAAGCATGCTTTGACTTGATTATTTTTAAGGACATAATTTTTTTTTTCAAAAGTTCTTTTCGACAAAATTTCTAGTCAAAGTCAAACTTTGACTAATTTTTTTGAAAAAAACCTAAAAGTTTTGGCAAAACTTTTATTTAAAAGATATTTTGAATACAATAATGAAAACTAAATTAATGTAATTAAAAGATATTCTATTAAAGTTTTGTCATTACTGAAAACTAAATTAACGAGTTGTTTCTCTTATTTTTAATTACTTCACCAAAAAAAAAACACTAAAAAATTGTTTTGAGTTTTCAATTATTTGAAGACAATAAACATAAAGTTGCTTTTAAGTTTCATACGATAAAAAATTATGGCAAACAGATATCATTTTTTTAAAACATTATTTTTATGAACAATTTCAAACATGAATTTCGTTTATGTTTATTAAAATTAGATGGGTTGCAACTAATTGGCCCATTCAGACACAAGACTGACCAAAATAAAAAAAGAGGCATGATATCGGGTTTGCATATGCGAAATGCTATTTTCTCTTTGTGCCGATGTAGTTAGAATATTTAGAGTCAATTTGATAAGGACATGAAAACCAGGTATACGAAAAAAATAAAAAAATAAAATAAAACCAAAGCAGAATACATTGACTCAAAAACTATAAGCATCTCAAAAAACATGAAGAGTCGTGTCCACGACTCTTTGACACCCCTCGACAATTTTTGATATTTATAATATTTAAAATTTTATTATATATTATGAAAAATTGATCGATATTTTATCAAATTAATATAATAAAAAATAAAACTGGATACCGAATAAATTTTATTGGAATATATAAGAGATTTTTAATTCGAAAATATAATATTAAATATTTACCTATTATGTTTCTTTGAAAAATTGATGGATATTATAAGTTTATTTTCATTTTTTTGTTAAATTATTGAATATTAAATATAATATATATATTACATAAATTAAAAATATTATTTAATATTAAATGTGTCATAACGTGTCGCTATTTGATATCTTTTTAATTACATGTTATCGTATCATGTTTCATGTCTTTGTCGGTGTATGCTATTTCAATTATAAAAGATACTGATCCTTACCTGAATGCTCACAGATATGGCGTTCTTCAACAGTGTCAAGAGATTTTAATTTCTCACCACGTTCTTGATGACAAGTTAATGTTGGAGGACCATTACAATCTTTCTGCACTAAAACTCTTGGCTTTAAGAAGATATAACATTCATCACAATCAACATAATGTGTTTCCCTTGAAGATATAGCTCGCTTCGTTGATCTCTGATGATGACCTTCTACCCCTTCGCCATCTTCACTGCTGAGAGGATAAGGACAACATACACACATTTTAATCTCACCGCTTGAACTATCAAGGACAATTTCATGGGTAACAGGGTTAAGAATGGCATTGCGTATGCGTGCTTGGGATTTTGAATTATCAATCTTGCCTTGCTTAATACTTCTTTGGTGCCCACTTGCCATAGGATCATGAACATCCAATGAATGTGGTTTGCAATGAAGTGATTTCTTCAAAGAATGCCAAATCTCTGACATTCTCTTAAAATATGTTTTCTTTGTGATATGAAAGATTCATCCTTCACAAGGCTAAATATACACTGTATCTCTAGGCAACCAACCAATCAAGGAAACCCAAGTATTATTTTTGAATTAGGTTAGATTCTTTATTTGCGAAATTTTTTTCTTTATCGGATCATTCACAATTTGGCGGATATTCAAGGGAGTAAATTTTGTCAACGAACCTGATATTGCCACATCGAGCTTTCTAATGCAAAATACAAAAAATTTCAAACTCCTCATTTATTTATTACTTAAACCGAAAAATATTTCCTTTTTACTTGAACTTATTTCCTATTATTTATTTTAATTGTCCTCTAAAAAAATTATTAATTATTATAGACAGTTAAAGATACAATCATACACCAAACACGTTTGGCATATATGGTAATTGCACATATATATGATAAGGAGTCTGACCTGGCCCTTAACTAGAGGTATTAAATTCGAGCTCTAAAAATGAAAAAAAAAAAAAAGAAGATTTGTGAGAGATTTTAAATCTCACATTTTTGGGCATAAGTTTAAATGTTATATTAAATTAGTGACTCCAAATGTAGGAATTTTTATTAGCTATTATTATAATAAGATTTCATTGTAATAAAATATTATTTATATTATAAAGTACGTCTTTTAATATTCTGTAAAGGAAATAATGTCATGGCAAAGGAAATAATGTCATGGCAAAAGAAATAATTTATTATTGATTATGTATTTCATTTCCTGAATCTAAGGAAATGCATTAAAAAAATTATTAAATATTTTATAATTTTATAAATTAGCTAATAATTTTAATGATTATTATGTTCAGATGTACATATATTTTTAATTTGAATATATTTATTGATATGAAAAATGATATTAAATAAAAAATCTAAAATAAGATAAAATAAAAAAGATAAGAAATTCACTACTTTTTTAAGATTGGGTTTGTTTTTTCTGATGTTACTTTAGATAACTTTATCTAATGTTCATCAAAACGACGTCGTTTTGGGACAGAAATCATGGTGTTTTTGTAATTTTAATTTATTTCAGGGTTATAATAGTCTTTATCACTCTAATTTTTTAATTTTTCAACTCCAAAACGACGTCGTTTCGATGAACATTAGATAAAATTATCTAAAGTAACATCGGAAACTTTTTTCCCTTTAAGATTTTATAAAAAAAAAAAATAGAGGGACAAAACATAAAGATAATATATATATAGGGGTTTACGTTTCTGCAGCTGCTGTACACGCAGCAATCAAATATTTGTCATATATATACGTGAAAGCATTAAATGCGGAGAATCATAACCACACAAAAGATGAAACCATTAAATGTAGGAAATCATAACCATACTCCTGCCGTTGTTGTACGTAAAGTGTATGCGCGTAATGAGATTAAAATAATTTTACCATATATATGTGTGTGTGTGTGTGCAGTGGCGGACCTAGAAAAATCTTTTTATGTCCGCACATTTAGTGGTGGGGGTTCGTTGCCCACTTGCCCCCGAAATTTTTTTTGTAAAGAAAATTTAAATCAATGCTTAAATCCGTTCATAATCTAGTTGCTTCCATAAGAAGCTGCAGGTAGGGGTGTTAACGGGCCGAGCCGAGCCGAGCTTTGATCTTAACGGGCCAAGCCTGTATTTAAACGTGTCCGACTGGCCTTAGCCTGTTACCTGTTATGAATATAATATTGGCCTGTGGCCTGGTTTATTTACAAAAAATAAAAGCCTGTGTGAAGCCTGTCTTAGCCTGTTAGCATGTTAAAGAATAAAAATAAGAGAACAGAATTCCACAAAAAAATCAATTTCCAGATAGAAACATTAGCTTCCAATTTGCAGCAATAATTTACAAAGTCTACAATAAATAAAAAAAATAAAGTGAGAGAAGGTAGATAACAGGTTATATTATCTTAGCCCATTATAAAAAAAGTGCCAACAAAAATAAAAATAAAATAAATAAAATAAAAAATAAATTGACACAAACGAGCAGTGCACAGTGGAACGAATGAGTTTTTGTGGGTTTGTTTGTATGAAGGAGGATGAAGGATAATATAGAACAGCACTAGTAATTCGGGATACTGACCAAAATGCCACTGTTCACCAACTTTTTTACCTAAATGTCACGCGAACAGTGTTATTTCTCAATCTGCCATGGGGCAAGTTCGCTTCTCGGTGTAGCGAACTCAGTTTGCTGACGTGTCACATTTTTAGTGCATAACAAGTATCAAATTTTAAAAAATAAAAAATAAAAAAATGAAGGTTGCCTACCATGTAGGTGAACTTGGTTAAAATCAAGTTGGTGTCCACTAGAAACGTGACACGTCAGCAAACCGAGTTCCCTACACGGGGAAGCAAACTTGCCCCCGTGGCAGATTGAGAAATAACACTGTTCGCGTGACATTTAGGTAAAAAAGTTGGGGAACAGTGGCATTTTGGTCACTGTTCCTAGTAATTTCATAAATATACATAAATTCAATATATATCCAAATAGCATAATATAGAACAAAATCATTCAAAAAGTCTGTTAAACCAATAAAATGGGATGAAATAAATTGATGGGAGAGAGTTATTACAAGTAGTATAAAAAGTATAAATAAATATTTATATACTAGGCTAGCCTGGGAGGCTCTAAGATCGAGCTTCTGAATTAGAGCCTGAGGCCTTTTTACTAAACGAGCTTTTATACAAGTCCAAGTCTGGTTCCAACACGAGCTTTTATTAAACGAGCTCAGGCCTTTACGAGCCGAGTCAAAGGCCCCTGAAAGGCCCCTGGCTCGTTTACCACCCCTAGCTGCAGGCAATAGTTTGACCAATTATTTCCCTCTAAAAAAAAATCTGGCCCCCACTTTAGTCTATTATAAAAAAAAATTAGTCACCTGGTCCTTGTGAAATTCAAAGTGGACCCATTTTGATCTTTTTGAGCGACTGATGTAGTTTTTTTTCGAATTTGTGAGGGATCACGATTTTAACTAAATTGATCCACTTTCAATTTTTTATGGACCTCGAGACTATTTTTTTTTGCAAGGGACTAAAATGGGGACCATGTTTTTTGCTAGGGACTTTCAAGGATATTTACTCTTAATATATATATTGAACCAAAAGAAAAAATAAGGACCTGCAACAAAAAAGAAAAAAAAAACTGAAAAATCCAAAATTTTATGACCGCACTTGCGGGCATTTTCCTTCAAGTGGGTCCGCCACTGTGTATGTGTGTGCGTGTGTGAAAGTGTTATGAAGGAATTTTGTTTACCAAATTCTACATGTACAAATAATAAGAGAAATTTAGAATATCAAGAGATGTTAATTGCATACAAAGAAAAAGGTCGATTTGACCTTGACAAAACTTGTCATTTAAATCACAAATATTTTTTCCTTTCCACAATTAGTAATAAAAATATATAGAAGGATACCAATATATATATATATATATATATATATATATATATATATATATATATATAAACCAAACCCATTTGATATATCAACTGAAACTCACTTTCTAAAGGTAGAGGAACCAAAACATTAAATTGACATTTTGATTGGGTTACGATCCTATTTTAAAGTATGAGACTTAGAGTTACACATCAAAAACATAAGATTTTGGTGTGGGTTTATATGGACTTTGGGCTCTCATATCTCATGAGTTAGCTTTTGAGATGAGACTCTCCCAAGATTCATTTCAGTTGGTATCACAGAGTCCTATATCATAAACATAAGGTTCTATTGTTAGATTTATATGAACTTTAACTCTTGTATCAGATTGTGGTTTATATATTTTGGTTATATTTGTAAGAACTCGCACCGTTAATTAAGGAATTTAATTAATAAATTATGAGAAAATAGGAAATGATTCCATAATTGACCCTAATAATTATAGTGAGGCTTTAATAATTATGGTAAGTGATTAAGAATGCTGAAAGTCGCTTTTCGGAAGAAAAGTGCAGATACCGGTTCTGCTAGTCGGTATAAATGAGTACCGAAAAAGTATCCCGGAAAATTAAAGTAAGTGAATGTGAATTACTATAATAATATGTAGGACTTGTAAAACGAGTTTCAAGTCCAGATAATGAGAACTGGTGCTAGAAACCGGTACTGGCTTGGAAAAGCGCGTACCGAAAAGGTGCTCAGAAAATTATAAGAAAAATATGATAAATCTTAGAAAATTATGTAGTTTCATAATCCAAAGTTTGGGATTAAAATGCTAAGCGTAGCAATCAAAGTTAATATTGTGTGTTAATCTTTAAGTAGGCTATATATACCCTTATTAAGGGCACAAAACCCTAGAAAACAGTTTCTCTACGTGGGTGAGGGGCTGATCAGCTGCTGGTTCCACTGTTACATTGCTTCACCACCATTTTGTGAGCTTTGTGACCTCTCTTCTTCCTTTTCTCTTCACTTTGTACCTTGGGTGAGTGGGAGAGATCATTGTGAGTGTGAAAGGAGCTCTTTTCCTGAGTGTGGTAGCTGTGTGGAGGCTGTTTGGAGTCTGAACTGCCTTGTGGGATTGTGTGAGCTTCTTCCTTGAGTTGTTGGAGCTCCAAGGAGCAACCTTTGTGAAGAAAGGACCCTCCTTGGTGTGCATTTTCGTGTATAGTGAGAGTCAGAACCTTGGAGCTGTTGTGTGAGCTCCAAGAGCATCTCCATTCTGAGTTTTGAGCCTTGGTATGTTGTACCATCCTTTAACTTGAGTTTAAATGCTTAAAAATGGTACCTTGATGCATCTAATGAGTAAAAGATGATAACTTGTTGTTGGGTAATGTTGAACACACCTAGAAATGTATGTTTAGGTGTTTAAAATCGATAAAAAAACCCAACCTTGGAAGGATACCTTCACGAAATGCAGTTTCTGCATTCTGTCGTGAAATATCCGGATATGTGCCCGAGAAATATCCGGATATGTGATATCCGGATATGGGATTTGGACATCCGGATATTAGATATCCGGATATGGGATTCTGGATATCCGGATATTGCATATGCGGATATGTCCAGT